GAAGTTCCTTGTTGTGTCAGCTCCTTGTTCTGTCATCTGCCACCACTGAGAACAGTCTAACTCCAGCCTGTCTAATGGGGAAAGGAGTCCTGGAGAGCTGCTTGTATTTTAAAGAAACCCTATTGAGGACGAAGGAATCATAGTCATAGAAAGTTAGGGTTGGAAGGGACCTCAGGAGGTCATCTAAGTCCAACCCCCTGCTCAAAGCAAGACCAGTCCCAGCTAGATCATCCGAGCCAAAGCTTTGTCTAGTCGGGTTTTGAAACCACCCCTCCAGGATGGAGACTCCAACACCTCTCTGAGTAACCTGTTCCAGTGCTTTACTACCCTCCTAGTGAGAGTTTTTCCTAATATCTAACCTAAACTTCCCTTGCTTGCTCCTTGTTCTGTCATCTGCCACCACTGAGAACAGTCTAACTCTGTCTTCCTTTGAGCCCCTGTTAAGGTAGTTGAAGACTTCTATTAAGTCTCCTCTAAGTCTCGTCTTCTCTAAACTTAACAAGTTCAGTTTTCCTAGTCTTTTCTCATAAGTTATGCCCCTCAGCCCCCTCACCATTTTTGTTGCTCTCTGCTGGACTGTCTCCAATTTGTCCCCATCCTTTTTGTAGTGCGGGGCCCAAAACTGAACACAGTACTTCAGATGTGACCTCAGTGGTGCTGAAAATAAGGGAATAATCACTTCTCTTGACCTGCATCTCTGAAACATCTTTGAAAACTCGTGGCGGTCAGGAGAGGTCCTGGATAGAGGTGCACCGATACATCAGTCCCATATTGGATCGTCACCAATATGAGGAAAATTGAAAGTATTGGCAATCAGCTTTTTTTGTCTGATGTGGCCGATAAATGCCACTTGCATGCATGCAACTGCAGTGCAGCACATGGGTAGCCAGGAGCGCAGCCCAGCAGCATGGAGAACAGCCAGGTCTGGTGGGTAAGTCTGTTATGGAGGAAGGGGGAAGGAAGGAGTGTGGTGGGGGGGCAGATTGAGGTCCCCACATTGAGAGAATGAGAGTGGGGCTGGGGCTGGGGTTTGTGCAGGTGTTGCCTACCCACGGCAGTGCGGTGCACAGGACAAAACTAGGAAGGGAGGTTGCGTGGGGCTGCAGCCGCCACAAAATTCGCCATAGCACCTGCTCCCAGCACCACCACCATGTGCCCTGAGCACAGCTCAGTCCCCCCCCCCCAACACCCACACACACACACACACACACACCAGGAAGAGCCTGGCACTGCCCTGGTCCCAACCCGCAGCAGCAGCCCTCCCTGCGCACAGGTCCAGGGATACACACACCCCATGCCCTCCCAGGGTGCATGCAGCAGCGGGAACTGCCCCTCCCCAAGCCCTGTGGATGAGCTGTGGCTCCGTCCTGTGTTCTGCCTAGCCCCAGATGGGCAGCACCTGCCCCTGCCTCAGTGCCAGCGCTAGCTCCATTCCCACCTTCACTGCAGGGGCCTCTATCTGCCCCAATGACCTTTCCCTCCCCACACCCCTTCCACCACAACAGACTTACCGGCTGGATGCCAGTCTCCATGCTGTGGGGCTCCATATTGGAATCAGATCAGCCGGTATGGCTCATGAAAAATTGGCCATCGGTATTGGCCCAAAATATCTCTATCACCACTAGTCCCCGATGATTGGAAAATGGCAAGTATAGTTTTCATCTTTAAGAAAGGGAAGAAGTAGGATCCAGGGAACTACATACTGGGCAGCTTCACCGCAATCCCTAGAAAAATCATGAAGCAGGTCCTCAGAAAATCCATTTCTAAGCACTAGTAGGAGAAGAAGGTGATTAGGAACAGTCCGCATGGATTCACCAAGGGCAAGTCATGCCTGCCCAACCTGATTGTCTTCTATGATGAGATGACTGGCTCTGTGGATGCAGGAAGAGCAGTGAACTTTAGCAAGGCTTTTGATACTGTCTCCCACAATATTCTTGCAAGCAAACCAATGACTCCTAAGTGTGCCTCCTCTCCTGGTTTCTTTGTTATAATGGAATGGGGATTATGGTGGTGTATGGAAATCTATGGAGCATATACTTACTAACAGAGCCAGTGAGAGAAATTGCATGCTTCCTTAGTTAAGTAACTTTACCTGTGCGTTGATCAAGCCCAGCACCTCTAATACCACCTATCTGCCTCTGCTTCAGCTGGTATTCACAGCTTAACTTTGGCATATTTTGAAGGGCTCACCTATGGATCCCCTTTGATTTCTCCACTTTCCACCCCTTCCTTTCCTACATGGAAGGGTGGTGTGTACTGTTTTGTATTTTTTTTTTTTTGTTTTCAGGTTGTATTAACCTCCTCATCTCCTTTCTTCATCACTTCCCCCCTTATCATAGAATCATAGAAGTAGGGTCGGAGGGGACCTTGTAGATCTTCAGGTCTGACCCCCTGCCTAGGCAGGAAGAAAACTGGGCTCAAATGACCCCAGCCAGGTAGGCATCAAGCTGCTTCTTAAAGACCCCCAGGGTAGGAGCCAGCACCACTTCCCTTGGAAGTCAGTTCCAGATCCTAGCCGCCCTAACTGTGAAGTAGTTCCTACGAATGTCTAATGCAAACCTACTCTCCAACAACTTGTGGACGTTATTCCTTGTTATCCCAGGGGGCGCTAGGGGAAACAAGGTCTCCCCCAAACCCTTCTGGTCCCCCCCTAGTGAGTTTGTAGACGGTCCCCAGGTCCCCCCTCAGCCTTCTCTTGTGAAGGCTGAACAGGTTCAGGTCCCGTAGCCTCTCATTGTAGGGTCTGCCCTGCTGTCCCCGGATCA